GGCCAGAGCACTCAGAGCATCCAGAGCTTACTGGGAGACAAGTGGGAAACAAATGGGAGACAAATGGCAGACAAGTGTGAAATCATGCGGCCAGAGCACTAGAGCATCCAGAGCCTACTGGGAGACAAGTGGGAGACAAGTCTGAAATCATGCGGCCAGAGCACTCAGAGAATCCAGAGCTTACTGGGAGACAAGTGGGAGACAAATGGAAGACAAGTATGAAATCATGCGGCCAGAGCACTGAGAGCATCCAGAGCTTACTGGGAGACAAGTGGGAAACAAATGGGAGACAAGCGTGAAATCATGCGGCCAGAGCACTGAGAACATCCAGAGCTTACTGGGAGACAACTGGGAGACAAGTGGGAGACAAATGGGAGACAAGTATAAAATCATGCGGCCAGAGTGGGAGACAAATGGGAGACAAGTATAAAATCATGCGGCCAGCGCACTCAGAGCATCCAGAGCTTACTGGGAGACAAGTGGGAGACAAATGGGAGACAAGTGTGAAATCATGCGGCCAAGCACTCAGAGCATCCAGAGCTTACTGGGAGACAAGTGGGAGACAGGTAGGACAAATGGGACACAAGTATTCAGAGCATCCAGAGCTTACTGGGAGACAAGTGGGAGACAAGTGTGAAATCATGCAGCCAGAGCACTCAGAGCATCCAGAGCTTACTGGGAGACAAGTGGGAAACAAATGGGACACAAGTATAAAATCATGCGGCCAGAGCACTCAGAGCATCCAGAGCTTACTGGGAGACAAGTGGGAGACAAGTGGGAGACAAGTGTGAAATCACGCGGCCAGAGCACTCAGAGCATCCAGAGCTTACTGGGAGACAAGTGGGAGACAAGTGGGAGACAAATGGGAGACAAGTGTGAAATCATGCGGCCAAGCACTCAGAGCGTCCAGAGCTTACTGGGAGACAAGTGGGAGACAAGTGGGAGACAAGCCTGAAATCATGCGGCCAGAGCACTGAGAGCATCGAGAGCTTACTGGGAGACAACTGGGAGACAAATGGGAGACAAATGGGACACAAGTATAAAATCATGCGGCCAGAGCACGGAGAGCATCCAGAGCTTACTGGGAGACAAGTGGGAGACAAGGGTGAAATCATGCGGCCAGGAACACAAGCCCGGAGACAAACTCAAAATCATCCGGCCCGAGCATGCACCCCTTTAAAAGGAGTAAGAACCCCTCACAGGTAAACCTGTTTGGGGAAAAAAGGTGCTTGCTGAAGGGGCTTCCCAACAACTGGAGAATCCGGTGTTGATGTCGGGTTCTGCACATGGGCGCACTGTCTCTGCGTGGATGCCGAGGCAGCACCTGCAAGGCCTCGAGGGATCTCTGACGCCGACGTGGCTTTTAGGTTCAACTGATGAGCACTCACTGGTGGCCTCCTATCCCACGCTGGGGTCACTCCGGAACTTTTCTATCTTGCCTAGCCAATTTGTTAAGAGCTGGTTGCATCCTGGGGGTTGATTTCGTTTGATTGGCCCTGAAGGAACAAGTGGCGATTTCTACCAAGGTGGGTCGCCGCTTGGACAGATACCCATAGATTCAAGAAGCCATGTCCTGCACCGATAGGAATGATTTGAGTTTTGCGCGTTGCAGGACGTGCAAGTTTGCAAGGAACTTTTTGTGCCAAGCACTCTGGCACTCCCTTGAGAGCAGGGGTTGCTGAGGCTACATGGTTACGAAGGCAGAGGCTTCAAAATATGGCGCTCGGCTGGAGACCAGCTATGACCCTCGCCCAGTTTGGTGTCGGCCAAAGACCAGTTAATGTGAGACATGTGCGTACAATGTTCCGAAAAGTGCAAGTTTTGTCTCAAGTGACAACCCATGTGGAAGGTGCAAACCCTTTCATGTGCCGCTACCATTGTTGGATCATTTGGGTCGGGGTTTGCCCGACAAGGACTTCAACACATCTGCGTACCACGACAACGTTCCAATCTGGGATTATCGCAAGGACTTGGGCCGACGGTGCAAACTCAGCAATTCCATTGCACATTTTTGGTAGTCGGATGAATATTGTTGGTTTCGGTTTTGTGTTCCTGGCTTTCCTGTCAGGAGGGTACCGAAGAGAGCCTGCGCCAGTCAAGACAACGATTGCAACGCCCGGCAGCCGAGGTGGCAGGGCGTTGCAGGGCAGGTATTCATCACCAAGAACCGATGGTGGCAGGGCGTCTGAGTGTTTTGTGTGAGAAAACCGCTGGCTGGTTACGGGTTCGAAGCACGATGTGTTTTTTCTCGCAGCCTGTTTGACGACGCATCGACCACACCGCGTGGACGCTGTGCGGAGAGCTTTTAGATTCCAGACGCACCAGTGATGCGAGGCATGCATTCCGGAGGCACAACATGTTGACCATCCGAGTGCTTAGAGAAGCACCCTGCAGTATGAGTGTGGCAGAGGCGGTTGGCAGTGGCTTTTGAGAGGCTGGTAATGGTGCCTCCTTTGAGAGATTTTGTGGCTTGTCTCTCCTTGTCTCCTGGTGCTGGGGTTTCAGAGATTCGTTCAGACCTGCGGATTCCGCATCTGTCTCACCGAGGCAATTTCATCGACTGCCTTCGAGTGCACGACGCCGAAGACCCGGAGCGATGGGAGGAAGCCTGTGGCTGGAAGCTCAAAGCAACGGAGTTGGAAGCATTCGGCTTGTAGTTGCTGGGAACGATGCTATTGGAGATTAGGATGGATTAGGGCGAGATCTGATTCTGCTGGCGACAGGCCCAACTGGAGCGGTCGCGACCTTGCTCTCTTTGAAGGAGAGAGGCCAGGGCCAAGAGACGACACCTCATCCCAGTTTCACAGGATTTGTGGCAACCTGCACTTCCGCAAAGTAAAGTTGCCCCACTTATGGCTGGATGCAATCACTAGGGGCTAGATTCACCCTGATTCAGATGGCTGAAGTCTTCTCGCAGGTGAAATTGGCCAGGTGAGCCTGGGATTCTCGGCGGCAAGTGCTTGTGAGGGGCAACGTGGTTTTTGATTGATTCAGGGAAATAGCCTGTGAATGCCCCCAGTCAGCAAGACATGAAAGATTAAGATGGTCCTACATGGCGTTTGATCATCGGATTGAGCATTTTCTCAGTCTCTTGAAGCCTTCCCTTTCGAGGCTTCAATAGCGTGGCCTACTTGATGTCACCTGGCTGAGCTGCATATTTTGGCGCTGGCCGGAGGTGTCTGAGGTGCTTTTTCGTTTGTCAGCGAGACGTTCTGTGGGGTTGTGCCGAACGAGGGGTGCTTGGGATGTAAGATTGCCCAAGGAAAACCATCCTGAAGTATCCCATTGGCACTTTCGTGCCTTGGCTGCTTTGGCCCTTGAGATCGAAGGGAGGGACCCGTTGATGACACTGGTGAAGCCATGCACTTTGCTTCGGCCTCCTCCTTCCAAGGACAGCATCATGATGGCTCGGACTTGGAACCTCCTCGACCAGTCTTCATACCCTTTGCTGGTCGAGTGCCAGAAGCGAGGACATTTGCTGTGACACACTTGCCTACACGAAACCAAGTATTTAGGACCAGGACTTTCCACGTTCGCTGATGATCAGTATTTTTTTGCGATCGCAAGGTCCCGGAGCAGGCTCATTGCGATACTTTCAGGGTGTCTTCATTGCAACTGCTTGGTGAGGAATCAAAGTGCATTTGGCCGCAGTCTTTTGTGCTGGTCTACTGTGGGGGCAAAACCTTTATATGTACAGCAGAGTCTTGGCAGTCATTTCAAGTTGGAATGCTGAACTTGACAGATTGAGATCGTGCTTTGCCAAAACTGAGGTGAAGTGCCCCCGGAACTCAAGGAGAAGGCAGGTTTCGCCTGAGTTTTGTGCTTGGCATTTGAACTGATCTGCGGCTCATGACGACTTGGAATGGAACACTCACATCAGATATTATGCTGGGATGATTTCAGAACTCCGAGATGAGACTGCATGTGGGAAGGGGATGATCATAGCCCCCGCGAGTTTACCCGATTGCCACCTTTCCACGTAGCATGCAGCGGGAAAGCTTCCAACCTCCCTGTTTCCACCAAGCATTCGCTGTGAGAGTAAAGCTCCTGCATACCGTCTGGAACAGCGGCGTGGTGCTCCCAGAATGCAGGTACATGGGTGTGTGAGATTACTTGCTTATCACTTCAGTCAGACATGATCTCAACCCTCACCAGCGGAGTGGTGCTTAGGAAGGAATAAGGGAATGGATCCTAAGGAATTTGTATTGGGAGGTCATCCTCTCATTCCCTACGAGCTGCACCAGTCAGCCAGGTGCAGCGGTGGAAGGAGCTGAGCAGCTCCTATGGCCTTAGCGTGCCCCAGGCCTTGTGGCCACGAGGGATTCCGTGGCATCGTTGCATGGATTCGGCGACGTGCCGGCAGCGCCTGGCTGTTCAAAGCAACGGCGAGGTCCAGGTGTCCGGTGCATTCAACCTGACCCTATCCGCCTATCACCGATGCGCCATGTGCAAAAACCTCCTTCCCAGGTGGCTTTGGCCTTTGCTTTTCTTCCCAGCTGCGTCGAGAGGCGGTCCGAGTTTCGAGTTGCCAACTCAGCAAGCACTTGCTCCCAGACTTGTGCGACTTTGGGCAGGATTGCCGTGGGGTGTGCCTCTCCAGAACAAGTTCGAGGGAATGTGGAGTTGCATGGCGGGATGGGGTCAAGGATTGGTAACATAGTTCCCCCATCCAGAATATTCCGCTGCCATAAAAGAAGGCCTCAATGGTTGATTTTCAGCAAGCCGGCAAGCATATAGGTGCACAGCAAGATCCAAGCCGGGAAAGATGTCGGGTAAGGATTTTGTGTAGAATTCACATCAAACCTTCATTCAAACATGCTATATATATATATATACAGAACACGACGTTGTGGAGGTGTCTGTTTTCCCAGTGTTCTAGTCTTCTTACGAATTTACTATCTATCCAAGGCTCCTAGATTCGAAGGTGTTCTCTGGACCCGCGCGCATTTTTCACTTTGGCATGGGGTAGCACGTGACCCCGAAAACCACCAAGGGAGCGCCGTGGCTACGGGACATTGTTGGAGAATATGGGATAGACAGATAGATAGAGATAGAGATAGAGATAGAGAGAGAGAGAAAAGCAGAGAGGGACCACATGCCCGTACTCACAGTCAACTTGAGCTAGGCTTTGTGGTGCGAAAGTGCCCATGGAGCTGTGGCACAAAGCTCAGAGCATGGGGCTTTTGCCGCAGCACCTCAAGATTTTGGAGTAGTTTGAAAGCTTCCTGGTGAAGACCATCTGAAGACCTTAGGGTTTTGCGCATCCAACGAGTGTCAGTCACTCATCCAATGTGCCTCGCAGATGGGGCTCGCACACTGCACTCCATGTGGCTGGGACATGTGGTGACATGTGGTTGATTCCTGGTTGGGCTGCTTCAACCAAGCCAGTTGTTGTTTGTTGTTTGTTTGGCTTCGGTGTGGGTTCCAGCGCTGGAGCATTATTTTGCAAGAATATGAACGTAAGTCGCTTGTGAAAGATTTGCCTGACAGAGCATCTTGTGCCAAAAGGATTTGGAAGTTTGGAGAGGCTGAAGCACGCGTTCACTCTTGCAATGGCATTTATCAAAATTGGTGACTAGGACAGAACATCTCACTGACTGTGCCTTCCTATTGTGGGGTCACGAATTAGGTCCAAAGATTGCTTCTCCATTGATTTGTCAATCTTGGTTCCGCTATAGCTGCGGGGGCATATCAGGAATGCATGCCCTGTCTCCTTTGAGCCTCGAATCCACCGAGCTTTGCGCCCAGCCCTTCACGGCTCGTGATCGAAAGCGATGGTCATGGCACGGTGCATGGCGCTGGCACTCCTGACAGTCCCTTGGATGCCGAATGCGAATTTTGAAGGATGACCGACCACCACCCGCTCTTCCAATGATGACTAGACGACACTTCAGACTACTCAGAATTCAAATTGCTGGGACAGTTGTGGAATTTGGAAGAAAAACATGTGAATGTGCTTACAAGGCAGGGGATTGACTTCACAATGGCTTTCTTCCCGTCCAGATTTTTTCAACTTGTGCATTATACTTGTAATACTTGTCCTTCTTTTGGAAAAGCTCAGCTTTACAGGCAGCGCCCCAAAGTCTGAGAGCATGGAGATTAGGCTTGCACGGGAGAGTTGTAGTATTACAAGCTAGGCTATGCCAGATCTGGTGATATGTGTTGGGAAATGCCTTGGTGGCATGGGTCATGTCAAACCAAAGGTCTTGAAGTCATGCCACTTGTCGAATGTGGGTTTTGAGCCAATGCCAGCAGACAGGTTTTTGGCCTCCAGAATCCTGAGCAATTTGCCCTCTGCTTGCCTTCTCCCTATGACAATCATCACGGTGCTGAGGTGGCTTCAGCATGGGAATGCCCCAGCGGCTATGGAGGGCCCAAAGAATGTTTGGGCGAAGACGGGCTTTGTGACCTGGAGAAGCCAATGAGCCTCGAAAGGAAGTTGGTGAGACAGTTCTGCCGGACCCAACACAGGCAGTGCCAGTGTGGAACCAAACGAATGTACTGTCAACTCGTAGGGGGAGCAATACTTCTGATTCTTCAAGCCGGGAAATGTGGCATGTTCTTGTGGCTTTCAATGACACTTTGCCAAGATCCAAAATTTGGCCCAACCCACGAGGAATGTGGCCGTGGAAAGCTGCATGGAGCCCAAAAGCCAGGAGAAAATGGAGAAGGGAAGCTATTGGAAAGGCTGTGGCCTGCAGGATGGAGGCCTTGGACTTCGACGGTGTTCGGTGCCAGTGAATGTGAATTCGATGACCTGCAGGCTTGGATGATGCATGCTGCAACTGCTGGCCTTTGACACAGAGCTCTCAAAGCGCTCAGAGCTCTTTGCGCACAAGTACCGCAGAATTCTGCCCCTGGAAAAGCCACAATTGCCCCTGGGCAATTTCAGCGTGCTCGGGGCTGGGGGACGACAAGAGGTTGCTGCATTGAAGCGGAGAAGTATTGTTCGACAAACAAAAGTGACACTTGCTGGTGTCACGTGTTGTGTTAATGCCACCGACCTGCAGCCTTGGCCTGCCCAGGTGAAGGCGTTTGCTGCGTGCACCACTTCTGGTGCTGGGGATCTCACATTGGCTGCCTCATTAAGAGCGAGTGCCCTTGTGACTGAGAGGCGCGAGAGTCCTGACGCTGAATTCATGGTCTAAGAAGGACTTAAGCTGAGTTCCAGGGCCCGGGCCCGTGCCAGTCGATGAAGCATGGAGTGGAAACCGTCTTGCAATCATCATCACTATTTTGGTTTGCCCTTGGAGACTCTTGGGTGCTGCTGTTTCATCACGGAGGTAGCCGTAGGCACCTTCAGTCAGATGCTGGAAATAGTGTTCTCCAAAGTGAGGGCTGGCAGCAGCTAAGCTTGCAAGATTGCGAGCCTGCAAACAGACTTGCATAAATAGACCGAGCTCCCCTTGTGGTTCTGATGCCGCTTGTCTGACTTCTCATCAGTAAAGCAAGCCGACTTGTTTCCTGGTCTAACGTCAGGGTCTCCTTGGAATAAAAGTTTTGGGCTCCACCTGGCCACACATGCGCTTGCCTCGATTCGCGCACATTGCCCTATTGCAGTGAGGAGCCATCAAGCGCTGCTTTTAGCATGCGTAGCGTGACCCGCATGTGAGAGAAGAGCCAGCCAGACCCTACGCGGCCACCAGCACGGACCCTGCACTGTACATACTACAAGAACTGCCAAAAGGGTCGCATGGTCGAGAGCTTTCATAAAGACTAGTTTCAACTTACCAATGGAAGAGACATTTAGTAGCGTCCTTGCTCCTAGTAGCGATGCCCTTTGCTCCTAGTAGCTTCTTGCTACTACTAGTAAGGCCAGGAGCCCCTAGTTCAAAACCCATGGGTTTGGATGAGACAGCAGAGGCGACGGGTCGCTGGGAGCCGCCATGGAGTCTACCCGTCCCTCCGTGGTGTTTCTGCATGGCTTTGGCGGTCCGAGCAAGGTCTGCCGTATTGGTTGGAATCGCCTTGAACATTGGTTCCCGCATGGTCCTGGAATTGTAGACAAGGGATTCTGGAAAGTCATATATAGCTTATAGCTTGCCTACTTACTGTAAATTTGTATATACTGTATAGCTTTGATCTTTTTTGCTTCAAGCTGAACCCCACTCAACTCATGTTGTCCGTTTGCTCTCCGGCTTCTGCTCCTCTTGCGGCTCTGGGTTCACGTGTTTTGCGACTAGCGAGCTGCGTTTGTGCAGGTGGTGGTAACTCACGCCTTTGCGGTTTTGTTTCTGCTAATTCTTGGTGCTGCAGGCAATCCTCGTCTATGGTCTATGGCTATCCAATAGGTTTAGGATTGTCTGCAAGTTGACTCATACAGGTTTGGACATGCTTGGTGGAAAAATTGCTGAAGGCTATTGTCTTTCCCTGCACTGCAACACATGAACACTTTCAGATACTTGGAAGGACCCTTGAAAGCTCTAGTATCTCCTCTCATTTGTCGAATCACACGCCTTCACTCTTTTGCTCGTGGTTCTTGCACCCGCCTCAGGCACTTTGAATCTATTGCGTGCAGCTTGCAACTCCAGTCTGTTTATTCCATTCCTCCGAAAGACCACTCGATGCAGCATCGCCCAAGCCAAATGCTCTCAAAATATGCGTAGCATTGAAAAGTTGAACAACACACGGTATATATTTTTTTGGAATATTTACTGCTTTACGTGTGTCCCATGTTAGCCTCGAAAACAACACCAAGAAAGTTAGACAACGTCTTCTGGCCTTACGTACTTTGAGACTCAGAGTTTCCATTCAATCGAACTTTTGTTCTAATTGACATTCGCGCACCTTTTGCCCCTTTTGCCCCGCGCCTCTATTTTCATCCATGTTGTTGCGGCATGGCAATTCATTTTGTCATATGTTTTGCTCGAAGCCCCACCGGCCCCACCCGGCACCGGATTGGGGATGAAGAGGTGGAGCAAGCCTTTCTTGAACGGTTGAGAGAGAACTTCGAGGCGGTGGGCGTCACCCTCCGAGTGCCATGGCTGCAGTGGGCATGCAAGCCATGCGCAAGGTCATTGGCAGTCTGCCCAGAATGATGTTTCTATTCATGCAAGTTATCATTACTAAAATATATACAGGCAAGTAGTTGGATGCGGATGCGCCCTTTTCAGCATCGTTTCAGTCTCAGCATGCTTCCTGACAAAGTTGTTTTCTTTTGCTTAGGCCCCGACCTACCATCCAGGCCGGATGAGAAGTCACACGAAGTCCATGCAGAGCCATGGCCGAAGGCTCCCTCCCACGGATACTTCAGAGATTGGACAAGCTCGGGAAGATGGAAGCAACATGGGACACTTCAATTCTAGGACCCTTATGGACCATGTCTATTTCTTTCTGGCTTTTCTCCAACACCTTAACAATCCTCAACACCTTTCCACAGAGAAATCCCCACGCTTCTCTCGGGGCGGTTTTGTTAGGCGGCCACGTGGCAGCCACCTCGCTCCCGTCCTTCCTGGAGGAACTGGCTGCAGAGCTGGAGCAGCACACGCAGCACGCGCACGCTCAGAGTGTCCTGGTGGGCTTCTCTGTTGGGGGTTACCTGGTGGCCAACTTTCAGGACAGGTGAACAAGGTGACCAACTTGCTTGCGGTCCGCACTGAAGGCCGCAAAAAGTCCAAGAAAAAGGGTCATGTGGGGCTTTTGGGCCGATTGCATGGCAGGCGTGGCGTTGTCCAGTTCGATGCTTGAGACATAATGCTTCAGGAGCGGTGGCCCCATTTGGTGAAGAAGGCTGTGCTCTTGGCGCCTGCAATCGACAACTTTGACAGGACACTTTGGAGTGAGCCATTTATATAGTTACATTTAGTTAGTTATACAAACATCTTTATATATATAGTTATATAGTTATATAGTTAATTTTAGTTTGGGCTTTGGACATTCTAGCTGAAGTGCAGAAAGGAACAGCCACATGAGCTTGGGAAGGCCCAGCACAAAGCACCCCACCGCAACTGGAACGATGGAATATGTTGCTGCTTCTGCAGTGAAGTATGCCCGCCTTTACTGACAGGAACTTCAAGGACAAGCTTCCTGAGAAGTGGCACATGCCCGTGGCCTATGTGAAGGAGCTGCAGGGGATGTCGGCCAGGCCAGCCATCAAGGCCTGACAGATGACATCGTGCTTGCTGCTGCTGCCGTTGCTACTGTTATGGTGCGCTGACGGTTGTGGTGGTCGGTGGTTGTAGGTAGTAGCTGTCGTGCACAACATCGAACCAGCTTCTTTGCGAATTCCTGCTGTAAATACCTCAGCCCCTTCACGGCTCTCAAGTCCATCCAGTCCTAGTTACTAGTCGTGTCCTAGTTGTACAGTTTCTGGAGGTCCACGGGCCCAGGCAGGATGCAGCTTTTCTCAGGTTCCCACCATGCTTGTGCACGGGGAGCTTGAGACGGACCAAGGGGGGCTCGGCCTTGTGGCGCATGAAGGAGTGGGAGGCGGCCGAGGACTTCACAGTTTGCCACTACCCCAAAGGCGCGAAGAGTACAACGCATGGGGGAGGTGGCCAACCATGCGCTAAACAGATATTTAGAATTTAGATGATTCCTTAGAAATCCGGAGATTTCAGACTTTTGGGTCAATATGGATCCTTTAGTTGTCAGTTTCTTTCTGAGGTTCAGGTCCAGGTGATCAAGATTTCCCTAATAGCAGCTATGAAGAAACAGTGAGAAACACAAATCTACTCTAGAATGAAAGCCGGCAGCTATGGTGACACGCCTACTGTAGAGAGAGAGAGAGAAGGACGATAGTGAGAGTTAACGTTTGAAACGGCTGAAACTAGCAAACGGAAAGGTGTGAAAAGAAGAGTTGAAAAGAATCATTATTCTTTTATAACCAATGTCGCCATACGTACAGTTCTCCGAAATAACTCTTGAGTTGATTCTGCCCAGGGCTCGCTATAGGACCACCCAGCACATCACCATTGAATGGTTGCATGACATCAGAAAGAGACCTTGGTGAGATCAAAGCAAAGCAACTTCAAGCGACTGACATAGCTTGCGATTCATATATGTCATATTATACTCATTGGTACCTGTTACACGGACCAGGATATTTGCAGAATGCAATTGCATGAGTATTTGCAGAGTATTTGCAGATGTGCAACCCATCAAGATTCCTTGAAAGCTGGGTGGCTTTTGACAGTCTTCAACGAAGGTATCTATATACACATATTTTATGGACGTACAACTCTGCATCCACACCTTGAGCCTGCACTACACGAAAAGGGCATGCAAACGCATCATGATGTGTGGAGGATCAAGAAACTTGGAAGACATAGATCCCATCAACAGAGAAGACAAACTTTTTTTATCCAACTCCATCTTTCAAAGGGCTTGGTGAAGGACAGATCACAAGGACTAGATGGCTAGATCTCATGCCTCATGCCTCACATGTTTTGTCCAAGCGCTTGTCTTCTCGTCAGGTCTAGGGCACTCGCTGGAGATCGTGGAGGAGGGGCCGGGCTTCAACGGCTTGGTCTCCTGGATCCTCGCGGAGTGAGCCAAGGCGGTGGGGCGGTTGGACCATTGGAGAGGGCATCGGCCAGAACAGGGTGGCGTGGCGCTGAAAAGGGTTTTCAAAGAGAAGATCCACGCCAGGAACCCTTCCGGACTTGCTATGAACAAATCGACTTGTGGGACTGTATTATGCTTCCTAATCCACATCTTCTTGTGGCCACCCAGTTTGCCAGCACTTTGCTCGTGTGTCGTGATAAGAGTTGAGCATTCTCTTTTCTTGCTGGGCAGCAGTGCCTACTTTGATGTGCTACTGTGGACAAGTGGACAAGACTCCAAAGGGTCGGGAACGATTCCTGCGGTGCTGGCTCAGGTGTAGCTTGAGTGGCTCGGGGCCCAGTTCTTTTGCTGCTGCTACTCTCTGGATAGATGTCAAAGACTACGCGTTTTTGACCAGCTAGGGGATGCCTTCTGCCCTCGCACTAGGCTGCCTTGAGCCTGGACCATCACTAGTTTACAAGACGAGCCAAGGTATCCAAGCACGACAGCCAATTCAAATTGCCCTTGTTGGCCCAAATGTATGTTGGCCCAACAGCCCCGCAAGCTCAAACCGCGCTTTTGCGGGGGCCATGGCGAAGCAGGCGCGGACCAGGATCTATGGCAACGATGCGATTGATAGCATGCCAGAGTTGGTGCAGGAGCCCTTTCGACTTCACTGACTCGTTGTCGACTCGATCAGGTGTTTTGAACTTGGAGGTTGAATCCATGATAATCTATGTTATTTTTTGTAGCATCGTCGGTGGGGGCGCGTGCTTGGGGGAGGCAGGTGCTCTGGCCATCCTTCAGTTTTAAAGGTGTGCTGTGCAGCGACATTTTTGTGAAGGCCATCTCCACAGCGCTTTTTCGGAGCTTGTTTTGCAGCACGGGTGGTTGGGTTCGCCTGCTGAAATCTCTTTGCCAGGAGTGGTACCATGCAGTTGGCACACCCATGGGGCTTGGGAACATGGCATGGGCCAAGGAGTGCGTGAAGAAAGGCGTTGATGTGAATGCTCGCCTCGACGCCTATGGAGGCACTGCCCTGTTCCTAGCCATCGAGCAGGGGAACTGGTCCATGGTCAAATGGCTCCTCGTCACTGACTAGCGTTGTACGGCACCTCTTTGCTTGGATGCGCATCATATTCACCAGGTTCACTAGATGGGACCTGATTGTTCAAGCTGGCCTCCCGTTCCATTGAAGCTTTGCCGGCTTTGCCTTTTCAGGCATCAGGGTTGTTTTCACTCATTGGGCAGGAAAGCCTGAAGACAGTTCCTTTGACCTGAGGCTAATAGAGGAGGCAGGTGTTGACATGGAGGTCTTGGACTATGGAGGCTACAACGCCCTCGACTATGCGGCAGCCTGTCATTGGCACCACCCTGACCGACCTCCACAAATGCCAGATGGAAAGCTGGCCCCCATGGACATCGCAAGCTATTTGAAAAGCCAAGGTATGAAGTACACCTGGCTGCTTGGCCTTTGTTGACTTTGGCCCCATGGGCCAATGGGATCCCCACCCCCCAGCCCCACAGAGGCCACAAATGACAGGGGATTAGGGTCTCAAAAGCTACTCACAATCACTCATGACTCTGTAGATGCTTTCCTTGCGAGTTGTCAGGTTTGGTGCTGCCTTGGCAGAGGACATTGATCGTTTGTGGGAGTTCTTAGACAATGGCCAGGATGTCAATGATCCTTGTCTGAAGCATTCGGGCTTTGCTAGAGAACAAGGTCAAGGTTTTCAAACCAGGCAAGAGGGTAGCAGGTGCTTCAATTTGGGTCTTCATTCGTTTTGTTGCTCCTTGATTTCTCCCCGCTGCATGCGCGGTTTGAGGAACGGGGTGGCCATTTCAACAAGAGTGCCCTTGAAGAGGCCGCAGACAACGGAGGCTACTGGACAGCCAAGTTCCTCATGGCCTGATGCCCAGAAGCTCTTACGTGCTTAAATGAGGGACTTGAGAGAGGTGTGTAATTCTCTGTATTGCTCAGGACCCCCCAGCGTTTGCCAATTTAGTTCCCACCCCGCCATTCCTCACATGCTGAAATCTGACAAGTCCTGTCCCACCGCTGAAATCACATCTTATGACATCTTCAAGGCATTCACATCTTTCCGCATTGCAAGGTTAAGGGGGGCGCAGGTCAGTGTGACCCCGAATTGGATCTACGCTATGGCACCTGAAAGCAGCTGCACTGCTAACATTCAAGGCAGGATGGGTGAATGCAGCTGAATGTGGAAAGGATGGGCCATTGTCAGTAGGCATGGCAGAAGGGCACATGGGGCACAGGCATTTGTGTTTGTAGGCTGTCCGAGCCATTTGCCGTTCCGCCAGGCAAACTTGGCAAGTGATTTGAGTGAGGCAGACTTCTTCCATTGTAGATTGTGGCTCAGCCCCTGCACTCTTACACTCTTGCAGCTTCTTAGCAACAGACTATGTGCCCATACGCCGCATTTACCTCAGCCCTAGCGACGCTGTGTTCAACGAAGACTCACAACACCAGATGTGCAGGGATTCCATACGAGTAGAGTTGCGGTTCCCAGCTGTTATGGGCACCAGAGAAGCCTTCATGTCAAGACCCACAAGTCAAAGATCTTGGATGCCACCCCCACAAGATATGTACTGGCGGCTTCTGAAGGTCCGTGCAGCTGACGATGAAGAAGGATTAGTGTGTGAAGCGAGGAAAACAGCCGAACACCATCGAACGCCTTTGTGTTCTTGGCACCTTTTGTCGCTCAATTCAGTCCATGGAACCAACTGAGTAGATGAGCACTGGCACTTACACAGCACAGCGCTCACGCCAAGAGTCTTTTGTGTGTGTGTGTGTGTTGTGTTTTTTGAGGGAGGGTGTTGGCAAGTCGTAGCAGGAAATGGTCTTTGTGCAAAGCTGTTGTCTTGGCCTCTTGGCCTTTGCACCGCCATCGGCAGATTGTTGCACCACTCGAGGTCTCGATGAGGAGTGTGTGCGTTGCAAGATGGCGACCATCAACCTTGGCGCTTTGCCAGGTGGGACGACTCTTTCGTTGATGTGCACTTTGGAACGAAAGCCCCAGCTATGCAATATTGGCAGAAGCTCAACCAGCAGAGAGCTCTACATCATCACGAATGATGGCTTTTTGTAGGTTTGTGGCAGAATCTCGACCATCACTTATGCAATATAATGCCAATACTATAGTAATATACATTCTTCTCCTGTTTAAAAGTTACAACGTGCTACTGATTTGTCGTGGTGGCTCTTGCTAATGAGGCTCCAGGCAGAGATGAGCACTGCTGGACCCCAATTAGATGGACACCCTTCTTCCGAAACTGGCATTTAACCACGACCTCTCCCAAACCACGACCCCACGTCTTAAACTACGGCACCTGCGGACCTTTTCCCCGAGAAAACTTAGCTGTCCGGCTCCGAGGTGCATTTTGCACTTCACTTCAGTCCGGGGAACTGTTTTCCTTACTGTAACTTTTTCTTTTTTTTTTGTTCGTCGGACTGCTTTTCTTCATTTTTCCACTTCTTTTTCGTTCCTCGGAGTGACTCCTTGATTTTTGCACTCGGTCAGTGGATGCCACTAAGTCCATTTTGGTCGGTGGGAGCCAGCCCTGTAAAATGGAATTAGTGGATGCCGCTAAGTCCATTTTGGTCGGTGGCAGCGGACACTGTAAAGTGGAATTCGTGGAAACCACTATATAAGTCCATTTTGGTCGGTGGGAGCCATTTGGTGTGGGAGGTATTTACACAAAATAGGAGGTTCGCCTATCTACCTAGTGGCCACTCTCATCATTTCAAGTGTCCAAACAAGCCAGGTGCCGTAGCTTTGAGAAAAGACTGCTCGAAGGGGTCGTGGCCTCAGTCAAACAATAAGAAGCGAAGCAAAAGCAAGAATCACCTGAACATAAATCTGTGGGCTGAACCTAGGAGAAACAAAGCAAACTATTTGTTTCTCGGCTTGGACTTCTGGCTGCTAGAGTGAATTCACTTTTTCGATTGAGAGAGAAGCCTGAATTGAGTACATGAGGCCCCACTAGAATCCGGACGAGGCTATAGTGCCGTTGCCACCGTTCACCCCTGCTCTCTGTAAGGCTTCTGTTTACATACCTGCTTTGGAGCTTTCGGCCGGGAAACTTGGATTCCCAAATAGTTGCAGGGTGTATGGGGTGTATGTTTGTGCCTGGGGCTATATACTTCTGTAGGTGCATCCAATGTCACAGCGAGCAGGCTGCAGCAGGTCAGCAGGTATTTGATGCCAGATTTGATTCAAGTTGAGGAGACAAAGCTCTTTACTTGCCAAGAGCATCCCAGCAATTGGCATAATGAGTCTGAAGCGCTGTTGGGGCTCCTGGCATCGCTACTAGGAACAAGAAACTATTAGAAACAAGAATTAGCAACAGCATTAGAATATATATAAATTAGAATCTAATTTAATAGTTTCAATCGCCGTTGGGCGGAGCATCTCGAAGTTTCGCGCCTTCCATTTGCACCTGAAGGCTTCACACACTTCCCGCTCTCCCCAAGTCGAGCTGACCCCAACCAGCCTGGACCAGTCTAAGCCCCCGAAAAACCTGGCTGTGCACCTGCCTGTGCCATGCGGGTGGCCCAGCGCGCTGCACATGGAGGGCGCTTGGGAGCTTCCAGGTGCTTCGTTGCAGCTGCAGATGCTGTTCAGGGGCCGAAGTTGCGGAGATACTTCACCAAAACGCAGGCGAGGTCAGTCTTGTGGGAAATGGGGGCTTGGGCGATGACATCCAGCATGTGATCATCACCACCCAGTGGGTTCTGGAGCTGCTTATGCAGATGTTGCAGTAATATCACCCCGTTCTTGTCCACATCGTTTCTTCCAGGAGTGGTTCCAAGATGAGGGCGAGGGCACCGGCGTGGTGGGCATCACCCACTTGGCGCAGCGAGCACTGGGGGAGATCGTCTACTGCCGTCTTCCAGCGCCCGGTGCTCGCTTCCAGGTGCCGCTGGCACGCCGGTGGCGTCAGCGATCGGTTGGATATGATGAATTTGAGCATTCAATTGTACGGTCGGTATTTACTCATCCTTTGGCTAGATCACTCTTTTCTCCCCTTTTCTCATCTTCATCTTCTCTCCTTCAGGATAAGGAGATTTGGATGTGCCATGAATACCGAGGTCATGGAGACTTTGGCCACCCTGGAGGCTGTGAAAAGCGTCGGGGAGGTGCACAGCCCGGTGGCCGGCGAGGTCCTGGAGGTGAATGACAGGCAGCGGTGCAGCTGGTTGGGGGTCGATATGTGGATCGGGTGGAGAGAGAGAGGGAGAGAGATATGCCCAGAGCGTGTCCTGCGAGTGGACTTGAAGGACGTAAAGTCACAAACCAGATTGAACAGCATTTTACTGTAGATGACTCTGAATGTACATGGACAATATGTTTAGATTCTTGATATAAGTGTACTCGTCTACCAACATCAACATAAACAAGTGTAAGCATATAAATACACATAACATACATTATATATATATATGTATATATGTATATATAACTATATACATATACACATGCACATGCACGTGTATATCAACAAACCATTTGTAAATAGATAACTAAACCCAAAAAACATTTACAGATACATACGTGCTTACTTACACATGCTACATGCTTACACACACATATACATATATATATATATATATATTTACCAGGCTACCGCCTGCAGCCGCCGACCCCCAAGGGATAAAA